TCGGCTGGCCTGGTCTTGCAGTATCTGTGACAGGGAGAAATTGGTTGCAAATATTGTCTGCCTGGTACAGTGAGAACTATGCCTGCTTGTAGGCAAGCAAGTTGCCGCTGGTCTAACTTCTACAAAGTAAAATTCTTTTTTTATACTCTGTCTTATTCCTATGATTGTTAAGAAGTTGATTTGGATGCTTTTCCCTTTTCACCTTGAAGAAGAGGCAGCCAAAACATTCCTTCATTCTGCATTCGCTGCAGCAGTATTTGCCTGCCAATAGATAAACTGCCTCTGCCCAGGTAATCAAGTGAGTCTTTATTTGTAACTAGTAGGTCAGTGTGAAGTGTCCTGTATTTGTAACGTGGGTTTAACCGGAATGAATGCCAACATCACACGTAAGTTGATTTACTGGCTTTTGAGAGTTAAGCCTGCTGGTTTCCTTGCTGCTCAAGGGAAGGTCTAGCAGAGTGGCTTCTTGGCCGGCTGCACAGTAAAGAGACGCTTGAGGAAGTGCAGCTGAAGGACGCCGGAGAGAATGATGGCCAGAGTCTGGGCTGCTGACCACCAGTTCACGTAGTTGTAGTTGGCCTGGACAAGGAAGTGATCCACCCCTCTCCTCATCCGAGCAAAATTATAGAAGCGCCACATGTGGAAGACCTGGCCCGTCACCTTCCGGGTGCTCTCCTACAACAGAGCAGGAGCATATCAGTTTTGGCTCCCAACCCTCACGAGTTCTGTTTTCAGAGGGACCATGCTTTGGCTATGAGGCCACACGCTACCCATCTAGGGCCCCCTCTTGTGATCCCTCCCCTTCAGAATGGGGGCCGTGTGCTTTTATTTTTCCATACTCTGGCTGCGGTCACACGGAGCATTAGCCACGCTACAGAGACGGAAGATAGGCGGATTTTCCGGGCACGATCACAGCGCCACATCTGGGAAGCGTAGAGCTCCCGTGGTGATGAACCCGAGGCTTCCCGCCAAAGATGCGGGGTAAAAAACTAGTACCTCCGAGGTACTAGTTTCCAGAAACCGCGGGGCAAGGGCAGGCGCCTGATCGCGTTTCCGGTGGTAGGCAGTGTTCCCTCTAAGCTGAGTTAGTGTGAGCTAGCTCACAGTTTTTCAGCCTCCGGCTCACACATTTTTTGTCTTAGCTCAGGAAGGATGACTCCAGAGCAAGCTAATTTATGCACTAGCCATATTGCTTGCTCACAACTTTAATGCCAGTAGCTCACAAAGTAGAATTTTTGCTCACAAGCCCCCACAGCTTAGTGGGAACATTGGTGGTAGGTCGTGGCATCCGGTGCCCGTCCATGTCCCGTCGCTAAAAGGGTTTTTTTCCCAAGTCTCCACGGGATGCGCACAAGCACCCAATGGCGCATGTGCACACTTCGTTTAAAAACAAACAGCCCCCTCCTCCTTTCCGTACCCCCCCCCACCACTCCTGGGTTGGCCTGCTCTCTGCACCTGGCGGCAGAGGGGGAGCGTGGCAGGAGGGCGACCCGGCTGAAGCTCCTCCTGGAGGGGACCGGACGAAGGACACAGTTTGCATTCCTCTGCAGCCCTGGAAGGGGTTAAACCCGTGGAGCCTTTTGCTAGAGAGGCCGTTTCTTTGCCGCGCCGCAGGATTGTCCTGTGATCGGCACCTCCCCCCCAACCATGGGACCTGGACGGGACCTCTATGGGACGTCTGATCGCGCAACCGCGCATTATTTTGCTCCAGGGCAAACAGCCATGCTTGCCTCTCGCATTTTCCTGCCCGTGTGACTTTTAAGGAGCTACTTCTGGCATTATCCCTGTTCTTCCGTTTGATTCGTTTGGGGTTTAAGATCGTTACCTCAATTGCTTCCAGTGTGTCATTGAATCTTTTCCTCTGAAGTTCAGGTGTGTTCTGTAAGTCGAAGCCCTCATAGAAGACCCCAAAGTTGAGATAAACTTGCACGGAGCCAAAGTGATTGTATCGATTGCTCAGGCACAGCTGGTAAAAACCTGCACGAGAGGGTTTAGAGTCATATTGTGCACTGCAGCTTGTCCCCTTCAACCCACAATGCTGCTGTCTTCTGGTATGCAAAGGTCAGATTAAAACTCTGATCCACATATTCTGAGACTCCCTAAGCCTTCATTCTACTCCCCATCTTTGTCTCCTGTCACTCAGCCAAGGAAACATTAAATTGGAGAACAAGATGACTCTGTGACTTGGATAAGATGCAGATGTGAGTAGTTCTTAAGTTTCCTGGGGGTGGGGAGAAGAAAGCATGACTGGCCTTAACGTGGAGAAACCAGCATTCTACAGTGCTCGTAAATTCTTTACAACCACTCTTGCTTGCAGTTCTGAGGGTTAGCCAGCTCACAACTTCATGGCTGAACGAGCCTGTATCGAGCCTGCAGCCCTTGGGGGAGGGGACTTGGCTATAGGGCAAAAGCACAATACCTGTCTCCTTGGTTGGGAAGTTGATCTGCCCTCGCATATCCTGGGAGGTGCCGAGATGAAGGCCATTGGGATCGTTTGCAGTAGCAAGGATGTGTCTGTCGTGGCCCAGCCCTGAGGTCCACTGCACCTGCAACAGAGGCAGAGAACAAGGGCTGCACAAGAGATTTCCTTTCTGACAGAGTTGCTGCTGCTATACTTTACCTGCCAGGTTCCTGTTTGCACACCAAAGAAATCAAAAATAATACAAAAACACTGATTGACTTTTGAGTTTACTTAAATGCAACTCCTAAGGGTATCTTAAAGTTTCATTCACAGTGTACAGTAGTAAATCACAAATTCAGTAAGAAATACGATGTCTATTGCATCATTAGCTTCAAAAACTGCAATATCAATTAAGGGATCATGTGCAAAAATTCAAAAGTCTTCAAACAGTTCACAAACTGTATATCATATCCAATGAAGTGCTTTATGAATAGTAGCTATCTTATTTTTTGAATAGGGGTGTCTCCAAATGCTTCCTTAAGTGCTCTATGTTCCATGTCTGATGTATCCATAAACATCCAGATTATAGAAAAGCAGTAATCCACCTAGCAGAATTTGTCAGCATATATATTTTCCGTTTCACAAAGGCTTCCTCACAGATGGAAAATTACATCTCACTAGTTCATAAGAGGAAAAGGACTCATATAATTTATCTGATTGAGGTTTGATATTGCAGGTTTTCAAACTAATGGTAATGATGCAATATACATTGTATTTCTTATTGCACTTGTGATTTACTCTTAAAAGTTGCATTTAAGTATAAAATTCAATCAGTGTTTTTGCATTATTTTTGAGGTGCCTGTTTTCTACTTCTGCCTGAAGCAACTCCAGGCTCCTGTTGTTTCCTAGGACAGCTGTTGCCTGGCCAGGTTGTGGTCCACGAAGGCTGATCAGTCTTATTTCTCTTGGACTAGGATAGAGGTGCTGAAACAGGAGTTGCCTTGTGTGCTGAGCGGCTGCAGAGCAAGAGAGACCTTAAAGCAGGGGGGAGCCAGCAGGCATTAGCCCCACGTACACCTTGGAAGGCGGAGGATGAGCCAAGGCAGCCTATGGTTTCTGGCTCTCCAAAGTTTACCCCTTTCCCAGTGTGAGGGGCAGCAGCTTCCAAGCAGTCTTTGCCTCATACCTAGTAGACTGGAGCCAGTTTGGTGTAGTGGCTAAGAGCCTAATCTGAGAGAACCATGTTTGATTCCCCACTCCTCCATATGCAGCTGCTGGTGGGACCTTGGGTCAGTTACAGGTTTTTTCAGAAGGTTCTCTCAAGGGCAGTTCTCAGAAGAGCTCTCTCAGCCCCACCGACCTCACAGAGTGTCTGTTGTGGGGAGGGGATTGTAAGCCACTCTGGTAGTTAAGGGTGGGGTATAAACCCAGTCTCTTCTTCTTCCATCAACTTTAGAGTGGGCTGAAACAGTAATTCCCCACCCCTTGCAGGGATGTTTTGTGTCGGAGAAGGGTTCAGCATGAACAGCTGGGGTGCCCGAGCCAGCCCTGCCTGGAGCCAGGTTTGTGCAAACAGGAGTCCAGCAGTCAGTTGCAGATAAGGACACCGCAAGGCTCCCGTCTCATAGCTGCCCACTGAGAGGAGGTTCCTGCTACACTCCTGTGTTCCTTGCGGCTGAGTAGCAAAGACTGATACAAAACTCAAAAGCAGGCATATTAAGTATACCATTCTAGTGAAATACAGTGATTCACTTTCTTTGTACACCACTTGATTTTGCAAAGGGGGTTACAATCTGCATTAGCAATGGTCAAACAATGAGAGCACAGTTAAAAATGGAGGCTGACGGTTGTGCATTTTGCCAAGGTAGCCGTGAGTACAGGGCAGAAACATGTTGTGAACTGGCTCCCTAGTATCCAGACCACCTCCCGCTCGTCACCTGTTTTTCCAAGGAAGCAGCTGTTGGCGTTGAGTGCATCAAGTGGGCATTATGCTCTTCTCACCCACTCACCAGTTCCCGTGGCAGGAGCCCCGCTGTCTGTCTTAGAAGCCGCTGAGCAGACCCAAGACGCTCAGGACTCTTGGCCTTTGCTGCCGCCCACCTCCTCCTCCCCGGGCACCCACCTCATAGCCGAAGAAGAAATAGCCGCTCTGGTGCGCAAAATGCCAGAAACACTCAATGCCGCCGGCAGGGATCACGATAGCAAAGTCGTAGCGATCTGCTCCACGGTAGAGAGGCTGGTCACTGGAGCCACTCAGCGGCTCAGTCTTGCGGGCGCCGGCAATCTCCAGCTCACCCAGCAGCCCCACAACTGCAGCTGTAAGGAGCAGAGGAAGCATGTTGGCTCTCCGAGGCCAACTAGCATCAGGGCTGGTGTAGAGCAGCACAAGCAGTGGGAGCCCAGCGTGCCAGGGCGGGCGGGATCAATCATTAACTCGCCTGCTGCTCACCTAGGGCTTGTTTGGCTTGCTGCTGGAGGAAGGAAGGCTAGGCGAGTGGGACACCTTGAGGACAAACCAGCCGCTGATTATGGAGCTTTTCACAGCCTCGTGCTTACATGAGCCAGGCAGCCCAGGCAAACCCCGCCCCGCCCCCTGGTGCTGCTGCTGCATCTCCACCTGCTGCTTGCCTTCCCACGGACTCTGCAGCTCCACGTTTCTTCCCTCGCCCGCGGCTGCAGGACGCTGCCAGCCCCTCTGCCAGGAAGGGGGCGGGGGGCCGGGGGGGGGGGGGGGGAGCATACAAAAGACTCCTGTGGATCACAGCAGCAAGATCAGAAGGTGGCTCTCTCGCGGCCCCCATGAGCTTCAAGTGCAAACCTTCTGCCTGCTGGTTGAACCAAGGGACACTTTCCCTGAACTAGTATCTACTCATGTTGGCCTGATTTCCTTACTGCACAGAAGCATCAGGGCCAGGAAGATTAACACCGTAAAGGGTTACCTCTTTGGGGGGCTTCTCCCACTCTTCCCGGATACTGGAGAACACTGCAGCAGAACAAGGCAGGATTCTCAACAATACTGTATGCCGTAATGCCGGGGCGTAGTTTTGCCTATCGTCTCAGACTTTATCTGAGTGGAATATACCCCCCACTCCCCAATTAAATACCACAACAATGGATGAGCCAAACACCCCATCAGTGCCACATGACATTGGGCCTGGCCTCTCCTACAAAAGCAAACCCCCCCACCACCCCCACACACACTGGTTGCAGCATCCCTCTTCGTCTGGAAAGCGGAGCCTCATGCGATCCTCAGAGACCAAAGGACCAAGAAAGGATTTCAGTTAGCTGTTGTAGATTTTCCGGGTTGTATGGCCGTGGTCTTGGCACTGCAGGACCTGACAATGCCAAGACCACAGTTATACAACCCGGAAAATCTACAACAGCTAATGAACTCGAGCCATGAAAGCCTCTGACAATATATTGACATTCCAGTTACCACTAAGCTCACTGCTAGATTTCGCACTCAGGCGATTAAAGTGCACCGTAAATTTCAGTCCTGCCCCTTTGAGGCTTGGCTTAGTTTCCCTCAGGAGGTCTATTACACAGCTCACATTCCTCTTAAATCCCTTGGTTTAAATTTTAAAAATGGTCGCTTATGAAGTTATGTTATGTATTTTATAATCTATTTCCCTCTTTCTAATATAATATAAATTTATTTGGTTTTCTGTAAAATCTTATACTCCTATAGTTTAACTGGAGTTTTTAAACTTGTCTGTTTGAATACTTGAATAATGTTTATTTTTGTTCACTGGATCTGGTCGTGGGCCGTAATATAATACAACTGAATTGATAGCGGAGCCTCGTACGATCCTCGGAGATTTGAGCAGCTGCTCATCGGTCCTTTGGAAAAAGGGCCAAGAATTTCAAGTCAAGATTATAAAAACTGAATTTATTTTCATCCAAACTCCAACACTCTCCCAACTGTCAGTTCTACCAGAGACATAAAACAAGGAAATGTCTTTCTTTGTACAGTTTTATAGATTGTAACAAGAAGAATGTGGGAGGCCACCCCTCTTTCTCCAGCAGCAACTTGAGCCCTGCCCCTGAAGTTCACTATAAAGCAAAACAGAGTTACAACTGGAGTAATCTTCTATTCAGCCAGCAATGGGGAACCGCCAGCAACTCCACGGACTGTGGTGGCCACAGGACAAGGGAAGTGGTCACGCTCCTGCCCCGACCACAGTGGGTGCTGTTCCCAAGGCCAGAGACCTGAGCCCCTGGTCTTCCTGCAACACTGCGCGGCCGTCCCAGCTTCCACCCGAGGGCACTGGCCGTGCAGAGGATGCCATGCCGAGCCACTCTTCGGCCACATGGACTTAAAGAGCACGTGGTAGCCTCCGCGGCTCTCCCAGAGTTCATTCAGTTGAGACCCAGCTTCTTCATAGTTCGCCAGCGGTCCTTGATCATCACGGGAGTGCGCTTCTTAAAGCGGTAGGCTTTGAAAATGGCTTTCCAATTCCCTTCTCCAAACTTCTTCACGCCTGCCCGGATCCACTCTGTTTCCTCTGAAGTCCACTTCTGTGAAACGAAGGACAGAGACAACCAGGGGAGTTCTCCCGGGACTGAAGCCCCCCTCCCCAAGGGCATCGCCAATCATGTCTTCTTCTGTCCACAAAGCTACAGTGGCCTCCCCCGCCCCATCTGAGAGGCGATGTAGCCCAAAGAGGGAGAGCCTGAGTGCAAGCTGGGAGATATTTCAGGACACTGAATCAAGGGAGCTGCCTTCAGGAAACAGCCCACCTCACAGGGCTACTTTACAGCATTACTCCGATGAGATCCTGTGCCCCCCCACAGGCCCTTGGAGGAATTCTCAGAAGCTGCCGTTTTTTGGTCTAGTTGCCTTAGTCAGTAGGGGTTTACTGGACAACACAGGTGGAAGGTGGGGGAAGAGAACTGCCGGGGAGCGGGCCCTTTCGGAGGGGCGTCTGCCTAGCGAGGCCTGTTGGTCGCCAGTTTGGGCTGGATCAGTGCACACACACACACACACACACCCCTGCCGTTACCTGCTTTTTTGCTGCAGACATGACGGAAGTGTTGGTGCTCTCTCCCCCTGAAGACACTGGAAGACAAATCCAGTTAGAAGAAGAGGAGGAGGAGGAGGAGGAGGAGATTGGATTTATACCCTGCCCTTCACTACCCAAGGGAGTCTCAGAGCGGCCCACAAACTCCTTTCCCTTCCCCTCCCCACAACAGACAGACACCCTGTGAGGTGGGTGGGGCTGAGAGAGCTCTGACAGAAACTGCTCTTTTTCAAGGACAGCTGTGCCAGAGCTTGTGACTGACCCAAGGTCACATCAGCAGGTGCAAGTGGAGGAGCGGGGAATCAAACCCGGTTCTCCCAGATTAGAGTCCGCACACTTAACCACTACACCAAACTGGCTCTCACTGGGGCAAAGACTAGCCACTCTGTGGCAAATAACCTTTCCCTTCTGCAGACACCAGACAGCCACTGCTTTATGTTGCCGTGAAAACGTCTCTAAGACGGCCTTCCCCCCCAGGCTCTTCGGCACCTTCCCACATAAGCCACTGAAAAGGTGGCCCGTCTCTAAGCGGGCGTTGGGGAGAATTGCTCCACCGGACCTGACCTCGGAAAGCGAGGCAGGCTAAAATCCCCTCCCCACCCCCCTGCTTGGCCAAGACAGGCAATTGGCTGCGGCCACAAAAGCACTAGTGACCTTGTAGGAGATGCTCAAGACACAACCAGGCAGCACTCCACTGGCCTGCTCCTCTGACTCTCACTGTCTCCCTAGGCAGTGAGTCACTAAAGACTGCCCCTGCTCTCGGATCCCCAGGGACCCGGACAAGTCTGCACTTCTACCACTAGACCCTCCCCTGGGGAAGCTGTCCCTGTGGGGTCTGGGTGGCACCCAGCAGAGGCACTCAAACTGGCACACTCACTGCGTTCAAAGAGTTCGTCCTCCCCACTCCAGGTCTCCTTCTCTTCTCCCACACTCCGTTTGGACAGCCTGGATTCAACAGAGGAACAGAAGTTGTCTTGCAGCACAGTTCCAATGCTCTGGATTGCAAACAGGAAGCCCCTCTGCTTATTTTGCTTATCACCTGCTGCTTCTACTGGGGGGGGGCACTGAAGCTCTGCCATTCTCCGCACTCCACCCCTTCCGCACATTTTTCCTGTGTTTACAGCCACATGGGGGAGGGGGTGGAGGATGGCAGGAAGGGGATGCTGAACTTGCAGAGCGATCACAGGCATGGGAAACAGAGACAGCCCTCCCCCCAGAGGCATCACACTCAATAGGCCGTACAGGGGGGAGATTCTGCCAGCACGGGACAGCTGGGCGTGGTGTAACAGTCATTCCCGGGTGCTCAACACATGCTACAAGGGCTCCTACTGTATTCCTTGACACAGGCCGATACCACCACCACCACCCATTTCACAGAAGCAGACCGCCCAACAGCTCCCCAACTAAGGTGAGAGCGGAAACCAAAAACTTCTGAGCAGCTCACACAGAACCACTAGAACACTCCAGCTCCCCAGGATCACAACCACGGAACCCATCCCACACCTTGAAAACTGGGCACTACGTGGCGAGGTGGGTGTTTCAGCGTCTGCAGGCCGGGCAACTGGAGTCCCCGGTGGCTCCGGTGACGCTTCTGGACTGGCACACAAATCACAGGAGCACACTGTCTCAGACCCCTGGACCAGCCGGCTGATGGTCACCAAACACTTCGCCTTCTGGAACGAGGGAGGAGAGCCAGGGGGTGCCTCCTCTTCCTCCCTGCAGCGCTTTGCTCGGTGGGGCACCGAAATCTGCTTGGGACAAGCCCAGTCTGTCTCGTCCAGCTTGGCAAAAGCCGCATCGGCATCTGCGGAGTCACACAGGGCCTTGAATGCTTCTCTCAGAGCAGGCAGGGTGTGGAAGGCTGGCCTCCGGTGGGGGTACCTGCAAAAACAGAGCCTCAGCGGGAGGGGGGGGAGGCACAGGCTGGGTTTCTCTCCCCACCGGTGAGCTAGGCTGCTCTGCCCGTCAGCGCCGCACAAGAAACTGCCTTGAGGCGGACGCCTTTTCCTCCGTATGAGTCTCTCATTAAACAGAACAGCCGTTCCATGGGCTAGATGGGCTTCTTGAGCAAGAAGAGGAAGGTTTGGACCTGCACAGAGCCCTTCCTCAGGCAGAACGGAGCAGAAGGCAAGGTCTCTGCAGCAGAGCGGGGCAGGAAAGCCGGGGCACTCTGTCACCTTACGGGCTTGTCTCAAAGATCTTCTTCAGCTCCTCAAAGGCAAAAGGCAGAGTCCCAGTCTCCTTCCGTTCCTTGGGCTCCTGAGACACCGGCAGCCCTTTCAGATGCCCGGGGGTTTCAGCCTCCTTTCTCAGGGGATTTCGTGAAGGCTACATTCAAGAACCTTTAACGGGGATGACTAATTCAAATCAATACTTTTCAAACCACCAAGACCAGAAGGGCAGGTTTTCACATTATTGCATCTATGTATTTTCTAAAGAAGCAGGCAAACAAATGGGTGGCGACAATTTCAGTTTGGCACCAAACACAGCCTTTTTACCAAACTGGAGGGGGGGAAAGCGCACCCCTGTTGTATTCATTGTCCAGGAAGAAACTGTACAGGGGAGAAGCCACAAGGCCTGTGCTGGGAGTGCCCTGCACTTTCTCTTACTTTTAAAACTTATACCCTGCCCTCTTCCCTTGAAGCAGGTTGGGAGTGATTGATCTAAAATGCAACCATATAAACACGACCACCACATTTATGTATTCTTCATTTCTAGTTCTCCTTCCTCAACGGGCCTCCACACAGGTCTAGAACGAGCCTCATACCTCCCCACGAAAGCCCACCCACAGAACTACCGCAACAAGACCCAGGCCCCTCAACTCCAAACTGTGTCTGGAAGGGGGAGAGACCCTTGTTGGCGTGGAAAGTGGGCCGTGGCATCTCTGCAGAGTGACTGTTTAGTCTGTATATGAATCGCCTGACTTTTGGCACAGAGCGGCATCAGCAAGACACCAAGGGCAAGGCGATGCCCACCTGGGCCGGAAGGGCCCCCTCCGCCTCCCTTCACGGCCAGAAAGGTTCTACTCCTGTAGCAAAGTGCAGCAGAGGCTCCCTCTACTGGTGGCCGGAGTTACGTTTCTAGAGGCCAAAGATGCCTGTGTGCACCAACCTCTGGTTAAATGGAGACTTTTTATTGACTGATCCTTTTATTTAAAACATGTATTAGCCGCCATTCTACCATGCAGGAACTCGAGATGGCTTAAAACGCAGACATAATGAAATACACAAAACCCCACAAATTACAGCCAACAATGTAACTGTGCCAGTAGGCAGAAGGACTACAGCTAATCAAATGCCACCATGCATTAGACCGTCTTCAGCTGCCTCCTAAAGGCAGGTGCCCCTTGTGTACCCACCAGATGAGCTTCTTTGGTCAACAAGACAGTCAAGAGGGCCCCTCCCTGTGATGTTCGTTCCCAGGCAGGAACCAACCACATCGGTCTTTAAAAGTCAAAAACAACACCTTTAATTGGGCTCGAGTGGATCAGGAGCTAGTGTGGCACTGGGATCACATGATCCCAATAACTAACACAACGGGCAGCCTAGCTGCAGCATTCTACACTAGCTGCAGCCTCCAAACATTCTTCAAGGGGAGCCCCAAGTAGAGTGAATTGCAGTAGTCCAGTCTACATGTAATAAAGGCATGGCGCACCGTGGCTACTTCAGACTGAGCCAGCAGCAGGCACAGCTGGCACACCAGCAGGAGTTGACTGAAACCACTACAGCCACCCGGTTTTCTATAATGACTGCTGAAGAAGAAGAGGTTGGATTTATACCCCGCCCTTCACTACCCAAGGGAGTCTCAGAGCGGCTTACAAACTCCCTTCCCTTCCCCTCCCTACAACAGACACCCTGTGAGGTAGGTGGGGCTGAGAGAGCTCTGAAAGAAACTGCTCTTTTTCAAGGACAGCTCTTGCCAGAACCATGGCTTGCCCAAGGCCATCCAGCCAGGTACAAGCGGAGGAGCGGGGAATCAAACCCAAGCCCTCCCAAGCGGCTAACGTGGCTTTTCAAGGGGAGTACCACCCCACCCAGGACGGGGGTCTCATGTCCCTGGTCTGCCTTTCTACCAACCCAGAGAACCCTCTGTCTTGTCAGGATTACGTTTCAGCTTGTTCACCCTCCTCTAGCCCACTACGGACTCCAAGGACTGGTTCAGAACATCAACGGCTCCCTTGGAATTAGGTGGGAAAGAAAGGCAGAGCTGGATATCTTCCGCAGGCCAGACCTCCTGATGGTTTCTCCTAGTGGCTTCATTTAGATACCAACTAGCACGGGGGATAAGACTGAGGCCCATGGAACCCTACAGGACCAGGGGCCGTGGGGCAGAGCACGAGTCCCCAGCGCCACCTTCTGGGACTGACCTCCCACATAGCGACTTGAACTGCCGGAGTATCCATCCTGGTGCTGAGAGGCAGCCCGGGAGGATACGACGGTTGACGGTAGAGATCCAGCAGGAACTCGCTCCCCCAGTCTATATCTCGGTGGAGGTCATCAGCCGAGGTGACCAAAGCAGTCTCTGTCTGTCTCAAATCCCAGCCTGAAGCTAGGCTGAAATGGGTCCAGGAAATCAGTCTCTTCCAAGAACCCCAGGAACTGAGAAGCGACCACCCACTCAAGCAGGCCGGAAGTTCTCCAGCAGGGGAGGGCTCAGGAAGGGCTCATCCCTGCCGCCTTCAGCACAGCTCCCGCTCTCAAGGAAGAACTCACCACTCTCCCCCCCCTCACCCACTCCATCAGTCCTCCCCTGGCAGCTTGGACCAGCTGGAAGGGCAGAGGCTGAGGACACAGGTTGCACGCGCCTCCCCCCACCAAGGATCCTGCCCACCTCCTTGGACACCACAAGGCTGAAAGGCAGCCACATAAACTGGGCAAGCAGCAGATGCCAAAGGCAGTTATCATCTGAATATGCATCCCTGCCAGCATCTAACCCACAGCGGATCTGGTGGATTTTGTAGTCTACTACAAGGCAGCACTTTTTTTTTCAAAGCAGGTAGATTTAATTTTCCATCCTGGCTGCCAAAGATGAGGCTCAGCCAGAAGGGCTCTGGGGAGTAGTGAAGCCCCCCCCCCGCTCTCCCAGGAATGACTGACAAGGCGCCTGTCGCCACGGGTATTCGAGGCCAGGCAGGATGATGACGAGAGGTCTTGCAATGGCCATCTGTCCGGAGCTCTGGGAGTGCTAAGGGCACCAAGCCAACCAGCCAGCACATCACTTGGCACCCTCAATCTAGCAGGGCCAGCACACGCTTGCTCACTCGCTCTCTCGCACAGACACACACACAAGACACAACTCCTCCCCAATCGCCTCTTGGCTCTGCTGCATCAGTGGCAATGGGGGTGCTAATGCAGAACACCAGAAAAGCCACTATGACACTTCCGGTTTCCCAACACCTTCCCTTCCGAGAATGGCAGCATTGTGAGTGGAGAAACAGTCAGCGGCCCAAGAACGGCAGTGTTGTATTCCTGACCCCTGCGCTGTTCTGCTGACCCAGGGGGTCACTCACCTGCCCACAGCCTCGGGAGTCTCCAGGGCAGGGGGAGGCTCCTCCCTCCCGGAAACTCCAGGGGGCTCCGCTCTCTGACTCGCAGCCGCCACTCGCTCATCCGTTGCTCTCTCCGGTTCTGAGACGGGGACCTCTTCCACAGGTGGGGGCAGCCTCGCGTCCCCATCACTGGCTCCCGCCAAAGCCTCTGTCCTTTCTTCCTTCCTGCCTCTGGCCTCACCTTCCTTCAGGGGCTTGGTCAAATCCCTACTGGATCTTCCCGTGGATCTGTCCTTTTTTGCTCCTGCCGACCCAGTCGCTTCCTCCGTGTCCTCTGAGACCACCAACTCCTCGCTGGCTGCCCCCAAAGGACTAAGCCTGGGGGCTTCTGTATCAGCCAAGTTCTTTCTTGCCATCTTAAACAGAGAAGAAGGAGAATTGACTTTATATTCTGCCCTTCACTCAGAGTCTCGGAGCAGATTACCATCTCCTTCCCTTCCTCTCCCCACAACAGACACCCTGTGAGGTAGGTGAGGCTGAGAGAGCTGTGAGAGAACTGCTCTTGAGAGAGCTGTTACTGACCCAAGGTCACCCAGCTGGCTGCATGTGCAGGAGTGGGGAATTAAACCCGGTTCTCCAGATTTGAGTCCCCTGCTCTTAACCACTACACCAAACTGGACAGACAGACTCACTCACAGGAAAAAAAACCTCCCCTTGTTCATTCCAGTTTTCTAATTTGGCATACCTGCCCTATGCAATCTCTGACCTTGGGGTTGGCAAGCATGCACCCTGGCCCACTTGAAAACAGCTTCTTCCTAAGACAGCCCCCAAGTAAAAGGCCAGAACTGGACAGGCCACAGGAAAGGTGATGCTTCTGCTACAGCAACTGCGCTGCACCAACAACATGCGTTCCTGGCGCGTAGGGGAGGGCCCTTGGCTCAGTGGCAGAGCATCTGGTCAGCATGCGGAAGGTCTCAGGTTCAATCCCCGGCCGCATCTCCAGTTAAAAGGACCAGGGGCAGGAGGTGATGTGAAAGAACTTTCTCCGCCTGAGACCCTGGAGAGCCACGGCTGGTCTGAGCAGACAAGACTGATTTGGGTGCTGGACCACGTGTTTGATCCAGGATAAGGCAGGTTCACGTATGTTCAAGCTGTCTGAGCTGAGCCCAGCAAACGAAGAGGAAGGCAAGGGTGCCGACCTCGAGGAGGAAGGGCTCAGAATCATCCAGGTAGTCTTCCAAACAGAGAAGAACGTCTTGCTGGAAGGCCTTGAAGGAGAACTTCCAAATCGTTGGATGAGCGAAGTTCTTCTCTCGGATGATGCTCTGCAAGGCCACTCTTGTCTTCTAGGCAAAGGAAACAGAGGGGACTCAGTGCAACTGACGGGTGGAGGAAGGCACTTCCACTGCCTGGAGCATCTCGAACTCAGTACTCCAGCACCAGACCACATGAGCACCTCTCTACTTTTTTCCCAAGGGTCTGAGAGTAATGGTGATGGCAGAGATGTTGTGGGGCACAAACCAAGCCAGACTTGTGGCTCTCTCAGCAAAGGAGATGTAAAATTTCCAGAAATTCTGAAGCCATGGGGGGAATGGAAATTTTGGGGAGGAAATGGAAATATATGTAATAGTTTTCTATCAAGCCTAAACTTCTTTCAGTGATTTAGCAATGCAAAATGCATCATTTATAACTCTTTTAGCACATAAAATTGTACTATTTGGCATTTTCATGGAACTATGTCTTCATTTTCTTTAAGAAAAATGTCAAGTATACCCAATACCTGGGAAAGAGCCGCAAACTGCTCCTGCACCCTGTGCTACCATAGTACATGTATCTTTTGTTTTTGCCACCTAAGAAGTAGGCAAAAATAAAAGTTGAAAGCAGAAAACACATTCTACAGTAAAGAAAAGAAAGCTTATTATCTGGACTGAATCACAATAGGTAAAACTACCAGAATGTTTGGATATGAACCTAAAGTCTGTTACATTGAAAATGCTGAACTTTTTAATGTGTTATGATTGAACACACTACAGTGTTCTGTTGCCAAAAATGTTCATTTATACAACAAAAAATTCTTGAAAAAATTGTAGACATCTACAGTGTAAGAGTCGGTTTTTTAAACATTACTCCCCCAAATTTCCCAATGGAAAAACTGAAAAGTCCTCCAACTTTTTCATGCTACACATTTCGAGATTTTTCCCTAGTGCTCCCCCAAATTTTCCATCAGAAAAACTGGAAAGGTGGGGGGGGAAGGCTGTTGGAAAAATACTGTGTTTGTTCTGGGCCTCCACATCTCTGCTAAGCAAGGAGGGAAGCTGCCCGAGCACCCCAGGTTTCGATTGGTCGGTGAAAGAAGGACCAGCAATTCCCAGCCGTGCTTCATATAATCCCCCCCCCATTCCAGCAGGAACCCTCACCTGGATGCTCGGGTCCTTTGACATCTGCATCTTCAGAAGTCTGTTGGCTTTTTCAAATTCCTGGTTCTTAACACAGGCAATAACAGCCTACAGAAGCAAGAAAAGAATGGTGAGCATTTTAATAAGCCAGATAAAAAGGTACTGGTCAAGGACCTCCACGTTAGGACAGTTATGAGCGACAGGATAAGGGGCACAGAGCTTATCATTAACAGGTTGTCACCGGCTCCTCTGAAGTTAACTGGTAATCCCAAAACAACTGGAAGTTCCTACCTGGGTCTTCCAAGGTCTGCGGAGAAGAACTTCTTTTTCTCAAGGAAAAGGGGGCTTTAAATACCAGTATTTTGCAGGCCAGCAGCTTTAATGAAATAGTTTGTTCACGTGAGTTGCCCTTCCCGCTCTCTCAACATGCCATAAATAACTAAGCACTGCCAATCTCGTAAGAATTCTCATGGTCTCATAATTTAGTGGTGAACCAAGAAAAAGCAAAGTCTGAGGTCTACATTATAGTCCTAATAAAAATCTCTTCTTTCCCTCCTCCTCCTCCTTTATAGACTTCGGGTCACAAAACAACAGCCGCTGACCTCAACACACTTGTGGGTTAATGCCCAGAAAACAGCAAAGACCATCTAAAGAAAACAGCATCTTCATTCTTACAGCTTCCTTTATTTTTCTTCTCAGCTCCTCTATGACTTTTGCATCCAGCTGGCGTTCACGTTTCATTGTCTCCAGAAAAACAAGTGCACTTTCAAAAGGCATCTGCTCGGCTCCTGAATCGGTAGTCCAGTCTACAATACATAGGAAGAATTCCGGTTGCCACTAAAACGTGATTTCTCTCTAAGATAGTATCTCTCTCTACACCGCCCCCCTTCCATAGCGAATAAAGCATCCTTCCTGCAAGCACATTGGTTCCACTGCAAACTTTTACATTTAACAGGGAAGCAGCTGGTGCTGCCCCTCCTTTCCACACCTCCGATTGTTCCTTTCTCTCTTTGGGCTACTGCAGGGTTAGGGTGAAGGAGAGGCGGAAAAGGGATGCACTTGGCTTCCTGCGAGCTCTATGTCCGCCAGCACCACAAGCTACCTCCCCCCCTCAAAACAGCCCAGGAGCATCTTCCCAAGAACAAATGCACTTGGCTTCCTGCGAGCTCTATGTCTGCCAGTACCACAAGCTACCTCCTCCCCTCCTTAAAACAGCCCAGGGGCATCTTCCCAAGAACACAGCATCTCAGGAGCCCAACTTCAACCTGCACTCACTCTCTTCAAGTCGGGACAGAAGCTGGACAATCCGCAGCTGAAGATGAATGCGTTGCTCCAGAGCCAAGGGCCGCACAAGCACAGCTGGAGGAACAGAAGACAGGCAGTTAGGCAGCCACAAAGCCAACACATCGCCCGGCTGGCTGAGCAGGGAAGCACGCTTTCCTCTTCACACACTGCCCCTTGCACATGACAACGGTCAGTCAGGTACAAACGTACAGGCTGCAGCTCCACTTCGGCAACCTCTCCAGCCCATGAAACATGAATGCTTCCCCACTGCTGTTTTCAGCAAGCCCACTCAGGAACCCCGAGTCAAAAGCTACCCCTCCCAAACAGCGAAAAAGCACAAATGTGCGTGCCAGCAAAGAGACACACCCTTATGGGAAATATACAGTCGTGCAGCTTTTGAAAGCACACTCAAAAGATGCTCCATCCTCTCCCAACAGTTTGCTGCAGAGAACCGTCATGAAAGACGGAGGCAGAGACACAGAGCTGCTTGGACCCAACAGTGAGACATCCCGTCCCCCAACTCCTGGGCGGCCTGAGAGGCAAGAATTGGTTTTTTAAAACAGGGCAGCAGAACTCTGGCTGATCAAAAATCAAGGTAAAGCACTGCTTTAAAACAAGTGTCCAACATTCTCATTTAAAACATATGTGCCTTGGTTGCTTGCTAGAACAGTTTGAGCATGTCTGTTTTACAACTGAATCCAGACACATTATGGTCTGAAACCAAACCTGAGACCAGGAGCCTGCAGTCTGGCAGCTTCACTGCTCAGCCTCTCGGCCAAGGCAAAGTTTCTCCCACCTGCCGGGGCACTCTGCCTTGGAACACTGAACAAGCCATGGGCATGGACAGTGAGAAACTGCCACCAGTCATGGGAGGGGCACAAGACAGACAACAGGCAGAAGGGCTGAAGGACAATTGGGGTTTGGGTGGCAGCAAGTCAGGCCCGTGAAATGCACCCACCCTTTTGGGCAACCCCTCTGGATCAAAAGATAGGATTACAACAAGCAGCAGCTGGATAAGATCTACTTGTTAAATGGTTAAGCTGATCTAGGTGCATGAACAGAATGATTCTACCTATGCAAAACTTAAGTAGTTACAATGAGTACAGACTCCATATTTGGTGTATGTTAGTCTTTGTTTGTAGTTGTCCTTTTCTTTCTCTTTTGAAAAACTAATAAAACTCTTTTAAAAACACACACACACACACACACACACAAGCAACAGCTCTGGCTATTACTCCAAGACCTGCATCTATGCAACTGTGACTCTGAGTATGTTTGTTTGGCTTGTGCTGCAAACATGCAAGCAGAGATGGAAAAGTTCCTGAAATATTGAAGATATGCAAGGGGGGGGGATTCTCCCCCTCCCCTGTTGTGTGTGTAGGGTTGGTTTTTTTAAAAACTTTGGTGTGGAAAACTTTGGAAACAAAACTATATGCAGTCCTCACTTTCAGTGACCGGGGGCTGTCTGGGAGAATGTTCCCGAAAACTCTCAAGTGTTCTAAATGACCTGATCTGATTTAGCGCTATTTGTTTGACTTGTTTTTTTCCACTCCCCCCGCAGAGATTCTCCCTTGAGAAGCGCACAGAAGATCTCACGCTGAGTAAACAGAACTAAAAATATACCCTCTCCATCAATTCTATGTGCATGCAGCATAGATCTACCGGAAGTTTTCTCAATGCCCACAAAATATTTTTAGCTGGAATATCGGGGGGGGGGGACACGGGCCACCCCTTCCCCCCCAAGCCTAAACCCCGCCTGCCCAGGGTCCCGCCCTTAGGATCTCCAGGAAATTCCCAACCGGGAGATGGCAACCATCCCGACCGCCCCCGCCCCCGGCGGTCTCCTCCTCCTCCTCCTCCGCCGGGTGAAGGGAGCCTCCTGCCCGGCCGCCCGGCCCGCGCACCGTGGAGGATGTCGCGCAGCTGGCGGAAGTCCTGGCTGCGCCCGGCGCGGAAGGCCTGCACGGCCCGGTGGCAGTAGAAGAGGACGACCCAGCGGTCCACCGCCTCGTCCAGCGCCCGGCCGCGCGCCTCCGCCATCGCCGCCATCGCCGCCGCCCCCCGCCCGCCTCCCCCGTTGATGCCGCCGCC